GAACTGATTTATTTGCTGTAGCTTTCAGTAAGCAATCCTGCGTCTATAACTCAGTGATATCACTGTTTTGTGGAATACTGGAGATGATCTTGCCTGCTGTGCACATATGTGGCCTTCAGGGAAAGGGTTAGAATAGGTGTCTGTCTTCCAGTATCCTATTAAAAGGTTTGCCAGAGTTTAGCTGTTCATTCTGCCCATGTATTTTACATACGAAGAACGAGATTTCATATAAGCAAGGATCTATATTGGAAAACTTACATTTTTCCTTCCTCCTCTTCCAAGTATATTTATTAGTTAGGCGAACAAAAATTCTTGGATTTCCCTAGGGCATACATCTCATAATCCTATATCATTTGCTTCAGTGATGTTGTCCATTGTGCAGCAAAGTAAGCATAAGGGTATTTTCTTTTCTCCCAATGTATGCTAATAATAAAATATGTAGGTCACAGGGAAAATTGCTAAATTTGAAATAAATAATATTAAAATTACTAAGTCTTCAGTGATCATGGAAAGCACTTGAAAACACATTCTCATGCTTTGTGCTGTATCTCTAGAAGTTGGGGATAGGCATCCTTCTAAAAGAAGTGTCTGGTACTAAGTTCCTGTGTAAATAACATGGAAATCTATGTTAATTCTTTCTTTTATGTTGAGACTACTGCAGTGCTGTGAGGATTTTATTCTTTTATGTATGTACATATGTCAGTATAGAGATTTATATATTATCTCTAACTGTACTTTAGTCAAAAGAAAGAAAAAGTGAGGTATTTTAAAATATCCTTTAATATACTTTTGGTTTCTGAACAGCTAAGAAAATGCTAGTCCCAGACAGTAGATTACCCTTTTTATCACATTAAAAGGAAATAAAAGGAATTAAACAAACTGGCATTCTGAGTTATTATACAGAACAATTTTGGTGGGTCGCAGGATAGTAGAACTAATGTACTTAGTTTTGTGCTAAGTAGCAGGAGCTGGAGAGTGATGATCTGCAGTAGTGCTTGTGTGCTTGATCTGAAAGTTGCTCCTGCTGCAGAGGGGGATGCATGAATGGTGGTTTAAAGGTGCTTAAAACTCTGTAGGCTAATACTGCAGTCTTTGCAGTATACTTAATTTGAAATTAAAGGGATAGCTCATTTTGTATAGCTTGTGAACTGAAGTAAAAATTGTGCAGGCGGTTGCTAAATGAGAGATTGTCAAAAGCTCTTCAGCTACTTTTAAGTGGAAGATGCTAAGCACCTTCTACAAAATTTTGCTCACTTTTTCTGGTGGCTTAGTTTTTCCTTGTCCCAAAGAATAAAGAAATGGTCACTTTGATTTTGTAGTGTTCAGCATTCAAAACAGATGACATGGTTCTAGGTACAAATGAGCTTCATCTTTTTCTGACAAAATAATTCAGGCCTCTAGTGCCTAAAGGTAATGCTATAGAGCACTTTGAAGTGAACCAAATCTCATTGGTATACTCTTTCTTGAGGAGCTGTTGGGTTAGTTGCAGTAGCATCTGATTGCATCTTGCCACCTTGTATCAGTTGCATTTGAGATGCCTAAGCAGGCTTTTGGATTACAGTATCTTTCAGGTCCTGTGCAGCCTACTTAAATAGATTGTCATGTAACTAACTTTGTCAGTTAATGTATTTGGGGAGCTACCATGTTTGATCTTTTTAATTAAGTTGGGTTTTTTTTAATTAATAGTTGAATTTAACTAGAATATTTTTTTACTGATGCCCCCTTCCCCTACACACACATATAGTTTTATGATACTATTCAGGATAATTTTGGGAAGTTTGTGTAGAATTTGAGCATTAAACAAATAAACTGCATTAAGGTCTTCACACGACTGCTAGAAACTGCTGTGGATGCGGCATACTGCTTAAATGCCAAACTGTGCAAAAGGGGAGCAAGTACAAGTCACTATGATTGTTTCTTTAGCTGAATTTTTATTTTAAAGGTTTGTCTTCTATTTTAAAGAATAAGTTTTTACAAAGTAAGTGCTTTTAAGGAGCTTGCGGTATGTAGTGTTAAGCTGGGAGTTCAGGATCTTGTCACTTTCTGTGACATCCAAAATTATTTATTGGTATGTGAAATGGTGGATTTGATGATCTTAGAGGTTTTTTTCCAACCTTAATGAATGAATCTAGGAAATGGTGACTGACTTAAAATTAGAGGCTGCAAACTGTTCAATATCCAGAAATTGACTTTTTCAATTGCTTAGGAAGTTCTGACAGATGAGTTATTGATACTGCCATTTAGAATCCTATTATTTCTGATTAAGTCTTCTAAGAGCAAAGATGGACTATGGTTGTTACCCGGTAAAACAGAGTAATATGTGGAATTCCACCTTAACGTCACCCACCTTTTGTTGTTGTGTTATTAAGTAGAGGAGGAGGAATTGCTGTGATCTTTAACATAAGTAAGCATCCTTGCTTGATTTTATTTTTAAGATTTGTTTTCTCAAAATATGAATGCTTTGAAAGTACTGATAAAAGTACCTTCCTTGGAATTCTGGTTCATAGTATCTGTTTTATTTTCTTGGAAACTATGAAACAAGCCGAAAATAGGTTCTCCATATGTCCTGTGGCTTAATACTTGGATAAGTAATACTAGTTGGTAATCTTGTTACAGAGAATCTCACGATCTCTCTCTGTTTTTTCCTGAAAAGTATGGTATGAAAAATGTCCCAGGTCTGTGATTAATTTAGTGACAATTCAAAACATGTCTGCAAGCTGGAGCTTCACTCTGGATAAGGACATTATATCTGGATTTGGATATTTATTTTATTTGAAAACTTCTATACTCTTGCCCTCCTTTGTTTTTTTTTTTGGTTTTTTTTTTTTTTTTCCCCCTTCAAGCTTAGAGCTGTTAGTTTATTGGTTTGAGGCTGTTACTGAATTTTGAGACTGAATACACATTTTGCTCTTGTGACTGTTAGAGTAATACCTGATCTTTACTTTTGGGGGTTTCTATGTCTGAAATTTTCTTTGTGAGCTGCTCAGCAGCCATTTGCTGCCCACGTGTTAAGTGCTCTGAAGCAATGATGGGTGCTCAGTAGCTAGGCCAAGTTCTCTTTAGCAAAAACTGTCACTAGGTATGTGTCATTTAATTTAGAGATGTAGTGAACGTCTTAAAACCAGTGATTTGTACTGAAACACCACCATGATACTAGTCTTTGTGGCTTTGCCTTGGTCATTAATATGCATTCTCCTTCACTTCTGAAAGGTGTATTCATGTCAGATATTAGAAAACAACCTAAGCTGTTTGCAGTGTGCTTGAACTTTCTTTTCTTTTCCCTAAGATGGTGGTTAAGGCAAGCAATACTAAGAAAGTAAGGTTGTAGGAAAGAGAGTTATCTCATAATTAGGTTGAGTGGAAAATTAAGGACTGGCAATAATTGTGAACTTGGGGTGTGAGGTGACCGAGGGTTGCTCTTTGTTTAATTCATTTTTGTGACCACATACTTCTGGTCTATAAGGGTTACAAAGTTTGCTTTCCTTAGCTGTGTAAGAGAAGCTTGTGAGACATGATCTTCTGAAGTCTTTTAACAGACCATTCTGCACACCCCTGTGGTTCACATGAAGGTTTACTCCTTTTTAAAGTATTTTAATTCTGTTAAGTTTTAGTTGCCTATGCAAATGGGTATGGAAGTCTTTTTACAAGATGGTAAGTCTTTGGTTAATATGGATAATTTAAGCCATTCATATAAATACAGCTGTCTGAGCTGGTCTGTAAACATCTGCTATACAAAAGAGTGATCATGGATTAAGAATAGGATCAGCTAGTGTAACTTTAAGAAAGGAATTAATGGGCAAGTTGCTTGAGTCTGTTTCTTTTTTTTCTTCCTTAGACATAAATGATACTTTTTAACAGAAATGTTTATTTGTTATTGAGCATTAAAGGTATTGTGAGGGGAACCACCACTTGCGGGGAATTTAGTTACTGACATTTTATTTCACAAGCCAGTGGATGATGGTGTCTGTACACATAAAAGATTGACAGAGACACAATGTAAATCAGTCATAAACTGTGGTTACATAATCTGCTGCTGCAGAGGAGGAGGGCAAAGCAAACAGCTGCATCTGACCAAAATCAGAGGGTCTGTGACAACAACCTTTTGACTTCAACATAACTGAGAGAAAAAGTGTGGAAGAACCAAAGGAAAAAGTATATTAAAGTCCAGTCTGTTATCAGTGGAGTCAGGGTTGCCTGGCCATTAAGAGTAACAGATTAAGATGATAATCCTGGGAAGCTGACACATTTTAATACATTTTGTTCACAGTATGCTGCCTAAATGAAGTCTTTCCTATGTGGGTAAAGCTTGCCCAGGATGAGACCACTTGGAAAAATACCAAGCTCCCTTGTGTGCTTTTGTGAAGCAGTTGTAGTTGCACCTGATCTAGTTGCATAACTTCTATGGTTCTGCGTATGGTTCCTGGATCACTAAATAGTCCATCAAGAAACTCTATGTAGTGCGGGGATTTGACAAAGTTCCCTAGTTTGACAAAATGTCACTTATTTTGTGTGTGAATCCATAGTTGCACCTCACCCTCTGTTCCCTTCCCTCCCATCTGAATTGTGGGCACAGTGCAAATGAAAACAAATCCCGAGAGCTGGGATGTGGGAGATGGACAGGGTACAAAAGCATCTGTGCCAATGCTTTTATCTTGCATCTTTCTGAAAATTAGAAATAATACTTTTTTTCTTCCAACAAAAAGTAGCCCTCTGTTTAAAACACAACAGGCTTTTTCCTGTTGTGTTGTACAACTGTGAGCAGTTTGCCATATCCCCCCTGAAGAGTAGCCAAACAAGTAATGTTGCTGAGAATGAGTGAGAAATAAGAGTAGATTGGGCCAGGGTCTCTAGAAGGCAGCAGTTTGGATTTTCACAGCAATAACGTAAATATGAGCGCTGTTGCCTAAAGCTGCCCTAGTGGGCTAGGGAAGTCCATGGAGCAGACTTGGCAGTCAGCCCGGCCTGTAAAACAGCATCCAAGTCCTTGCATTTGTCCAGGCATGCCATGTGAGGTTCGGATGACAGTGGAATTTAAGATGAGTGAAATGATCGGTAAGGCTAAGTAAAATTGCAAGGCAGGAGCAAGCTTATTAACAAGCCAACATTCTCTTTTACCTTTAGTACACCCATCTGAGAATGTTCTTGTGAAATGCTGGTGAAATAGAACATTAAAAAAAATGTGGAGCTGTTCAAAGTCATTCAGGGAAGACCAGTTTAAATTGGAAGAATGGCAGAACTGGTTGGTAAGCAGGCCCTTGGGTTGTGTCTGGGCCTGCACATCTCGTGGGTTTACCGAACAGCTGAACTTCATCGTTTATGTGGCTCTTCTGATGAAATGTCTCGGTGGCATTGAATGCTTATGGTTACTTTTCAGACAAAGGATGGTAGGGGTGATAGAAGAGAAGATGCTTTTGCCAGTTTTCTTTGTGAGGCCGAGTCCTCATGTGGGCATTTTTATGTATGTGAGGGGAGGAGAGAAGAATCAGCTTTCTGGGAATCTGGTTAGAAACCCATGATCTTTCAGCAATAAATTAATGAAAGTAGAACTATGGGTTTGGTCTGGGTTTGTGTTGTGTCTTGGTTTTGTTTGTTTTGTACTTCTGAAGCAGAAATTAAGACTTAATTTGAGGCTATGTAAAAGACATCTGTAGGTAGAAATATGAGGAGGTACTCGCAGCTACTTTATTACTCCCAGAAATGTAGAATCGTATTAACGTTTAGAGTAATAGGAATTGCTTGTTTTAAAAAATGGCTTCTCAGACTGCATTTTGAAGATCAGTCATCACTTCTAAAAATGAGAAATATTTTTAATATAGCAAAATTGCTGGATGGAGTTGGAGTTTTCTGTTTAATAGGCTGGTGAGAGTTATTTTTGGTATCTTGTAAATATTCCTCTTTGGACTTACTCTTAGATCAAGGTCTTTCCATTTTCTTATGTATGAGGTTATTCAAGACTGCAGGAGGCAAATAACTTTGAATTCACTGCTTAATGACAGTCTTCATGTTTGGGGGCTGCTAGCTTTGATTTTTAAGAACAAATGCCAGGATACGTTTTATTTTAATCCTAGATTTTTAGTTTTTTTACATGGTTTTGGTAAATTGAAAAAATGGGAAGACTACTTAAATTCAGTGATAAGCAGCATTTGTACTATGCTGGAGAGGGAGTAAAATTGAGACTGATTGTAGCTGGGACAAGGCACAAACTGTTGCCTTCTAACTAAATTTTTTTTAACAGAGTAACCCTTTGTATCTTCATACCCCAAACCAAAGCGTGCTCTAAAGATAATACAGTCACGGTGCATTTATTAAGTGTTACTGACAGTGATTTACTGAGTTTGATGGCTGCGTAATGGGCTGTAATGATGTCTACAATGATTTATAGCTACTCATGTGTATCTTGGGTGTTTTCTAGTAGCTGTTCCCTAAATCAAGAACACAAAGGATGATTATGATTAAAAAAGGCTTTAATGGTGTTGTTTAATCTAAAGAATCAGTAAGAAAATCTGTCAACATTTTATATTTTGCATAACTTTTTAAAATTAGGTCAGAGTCTCTGTATTTCATCAGTGTAGTTCATGAAATTTAGGCTTTTGAGAGCAAATGCTACTGGCTTTCAAATTGCCTAGATTTTTTGGTTGTTGGCAGGAGGTTAGGCTGATTAGGTAGGTGAAACCTCCACTCTTGCTGGAATAAACACAAGCTATTTAGGACTCTGTGAAGAGATGTGAATTTTCAGGGCTTGCATGTGGCACAGTTGTGAGGCATGCTAATCTGATCTCTTGTACTTTGGGGGATCATTCTGAAAGCTGCTGAAAAAATAACATTCATGCTCAGCTTCAGCCTCCTCTTTCTCATATGGCTGCTCAATTCCTGTTTGTTGTGCTTTCTGTGTCAATCTTAGCAATGTGAATTCAAGATGTTTCTGATTCTACGTTCATGTGTGCAGCTGGGAAAACAGAAGTTTCAGGTTATCATTCTGGCTCATTTCAGGCCTTTATGTATGAAGCCTTTGAGTTTTGTGCACCTGAAGTCTACAGTAAAGCTGTATTATAAAATACGTTGGAGAAAAACTGTAATATTAATGATCTGAGATACTGTGTTAACTCTATGGTAGCACGGGCTGCTGTGGAATGGTTTGCTCTCTGTTATGTTGTAGGACAGCTGCAGAAGTACAGTGTCATTTTGCTGAGGCGTGAAGAGTTCCCAAACTTGTTTGTGAAGATCCTATCAATACAAGTTCTCAGCCTCTGGGTAATGCGCTGTTTCTGATAAGCAGAAAGAGGCATGCCCCCATTTCAGTCTCCCCTTCTCTTGCTGTGTAGTCTCTTCTCCACCCCTTGCCTTGGGGTATTGCAGTTTCTTTTCTACCAGTTTTTGCAAAGACCCTACCCTACGTCACCACCCTCTCATATGAACTAAAATACCCATTGTCTTGCACACTCCCATCTTGTTTTGTTTGCGGCCACTCCACTTACATGTTCTGATTTTGGGAACTTCAGTTCTGCTCAGTCCTGGATTCAGGACTGGAGCAGGCTGTAAACTTGGACATGTCTGTGTAGAGCAGCTGGTTGCTACCAGCAAGCTAATTGGTATTGGAAGTTGATCAATGTTAAAGGCATCTATATAGGTAGCTAGGTGAGGATTTCAGTTTATAGGTACAGCATAAAGCAGAACTTTGAATAATTGGAGAGCCAGTTTTGTCTTCACAAAGGAAGAGTTAGGTTGTGGATGATAAATTGGCCTGTAATACAAAGAATCTAGACAAACCTTCAGCTGGCAACTACAGCATGTAATTCCCTTATTCTCTGCAACCAGTATTTGCATAATGTCCTTACTTACTTTTACTTATTTTACATTCTTCCTGTGGGTCAGCATAAGACACCAGTCCCGGAGTCCTCAATCTTCTCAGTTCCCATGCTACACGTACCAGATGTGCTGGGATTGCAGGGCTGCAGGTCTTCTGCAAATTCTAACAGCTGATCATATAGAACAATGTACTTCATTTTCATAACAGTAGTGACAAATAGGCTGCATGGATGTACTTAGTGTCATTTTAAGAATCTCCTCAAAGGCCATAGTGTATGTTTTAATATCTGTGAACTACTGAGTTATGGTAAGCTGACTTTCTAACACTGTAGGACAGATGAGGCTCCATCAAACTGGAGGGTCACAGCTTTCACTTCGTCTACATGGGGATTATGCAGTTAAGTGCTGTGCCCTCTTGAATGATGTACGCACAAAGGAAAAAAAGGAAGCAAAGAGGAGCCCGTAGAACTTTCAGATTTTTTTTGAAAGCAAAAAAGTAAGTATATTTCTTTTTTAACCTGTTATGAGTATTAATGAATAATTCTGAAATACTGGGCCACAATGTCTGTAAAGTTTTAATTTAAAGACGTGCCTCATAATCAACCAGAAATGCCAGGAGAGCTAGAGAAGGCACAGGTATAAACACTGCCTAGCACTTCCGGTTGCTGTTTTCTATTCCTGTAACTGAACTGAGAATGACTAATTCTTGTTGAACCTTACAGTTACAAGCTGGATTCTTTACCTCACTTTTTATCAACATCTCTCAAAGCACTCTGACGTGAAAGATTATGAGAACTTATGTGGTTTTATTTTTAAAAAAAAAAAAACAAAAACAAAAAAAAAACAACAAACAAACAAAAAAAAAACAAACTTCAACTGCAATGAACTCCATTTGCTGCAATAGAAGTACGTGACTTTCTGAAACGTGCTTATGGCTTAAGCAGATGCATTTGATTTCCCTTTTTATGTAGTCTTACTTGCACACAAACTAAAATGTCATGTTTATTATTTCCCTATTTGGACGATAATTCTGTTAATTCAGGGTGAAGCTGGATGTACATCAAGACAGCCATTCTAGTTTAAATGCATGCTGGGATACGGCCTAAGGGTTTAGTTGTGCATTATATTTTTATTTGATAGTGAGAGCACCTGCAGTTCCTGACTTGGTTGTTTGTTTCTCCTCATGTCCTAAAGCCATCCTGTCAGTTATATATATACAGGTGTTTACGTTAGTGTACTGCAAAGCTGATTGCACAAATCATCTGGGTTAAAAATATCTGTCATTCTCATTTCCCTTCCCCCTTGGTGTGTGAGTGTGTGTGGGAGGGTAGTTGCTGCTGAAAAAAACATAACATGTAGTTACACCCTGAGAGCCACTGCATTCTTATTTTATTCAGTGTCAGCTGTAAACATTCGCTACACTGTATTATTGTTTTGCTTAAACTACTTAAACTATTACAGTTTCATTATTCTTCTGCATTTCTACTGAGAATAATGAATTCTCATCAAGACTAGAATTTGGAAAAGACTCAATGGTGATCTCGCACTGTCAATAAGGTTGTTTCTCCTACACATTTTAAGTATTCTTGCTTAACACAAGAGAACGAGTGAAATTCTGATGGGCACGACAGAGCTGCCTGTAGCGTACATGCTTGACAGAAGTAAAATTTATTTTTATCCATTTTGAGTAATCTGATATGACCATGAAACAGCACAAAATCATTGAAGAGAACTGTTTCATAAAGTGACAATTGTTGTAAAGCATCCTTTTCTGAAAGCTTAAAGTTGCACTATTTTTTTTTGTGTGTTGCCAAGCTTGTTTTTTTTAAGGATGTCTTCCCCCTGCTCCCCCTTGCTACCTTAACTGTTTGCACAATTAATAATTTTCTAGTACTGTATTTGATGTTTTATTAGTCAGTTATACTCCTTATAAAGTAATGCTTTGCTAATGTTTTAAAAACTAATGTTTTTTAGGATCTTTTGGGGATTGTAGTTTTAAAGTTGATATTTAAGCTTGTAGGAAGTATCTCTGGAGATCATACAGCTTTCAATGGAAACCTGAAGTTAAATATCCAGTTATAGAGCTTTAGTGTGGTAGTGTACCACCAAGAACGCCGATTGTCTTTTTAAGTGCACAAAAGGAAAACTATGACTCTTGGATATTTTGGGTTCTTTGTAAAGATGAAGTCTCCTGTTTCATCCCAAGAAACACATGAAGTGCTTCAAATCAGTAGGAGAATTAAATT